AAACACGACAATGAACTTGTCATTGGCCCATGACGTGTTACTGGTGCGACCAAGAGTATAAAAGGGCACCTGTAGCACATGTCATCAGCTTCTTGTCTGAAGGATGCCTGAAGCATGGCAAGGGGACGCAGTGTCTCGTTCCCCTTCTCAGGGAACCATGGTTACATGGTTACATGGAGGCGGGGCTCTGGCAGCTACGCTCGCCTTCTGACTCTGCCGCAAGCTGGGCCCGGCGGCAGGCTCAGCTTCAGGTGGTTGACCGAAAGGACGCCGCCTACGGCGAGAGATGTAGTGCTCAAACGCCGCTGACTTAACCTTCGCCTCCCTGAACTTACGGACTACTGTCTCAACAGCAGCTCCGAAAAGCCCGGCAGGCGAAACCGGGGCATCAAGGAGAAAAGACCTGTCCTTCTCCTTTAGCCCCGACAGGTTAAGCCATAAATGCCTCTCCGTGACAATGATGGCGAAAGCCGCTTGCTTGGTTGCACGGAGAGCAAGATCACATGAGCGGCGGAGCTCCTCGATTTCAGCAGGAGCCACGCCCCCCGCCGCATCAGCGTCCTTTAGCAGAATCGCCTGGTAAGCGTGCAATACAGAGATAGAATGCAGGGTACCGCCCGCCTGCCCAGCCGCCGCGTTTGCCTTGCCCACGAGCCTAGATGTAAACTGGCACGGCTTCGAAGGCAAGGTAGGAGCCCTCCACGAAGATGCCTGGGGAGCAGGGAGATAACCCGCAAGGGATTCCTCCATCTGAGGCATCTTTGTGTACCCACTGTCTTCCAACCCCTTCAGATTAGCGTAGTTTGACTTGTTAGGAGGAAAGACGCGGGCAGAAAAAGGATTCCTCCATGACCTCAACAGCTCGCTGTGAAGCTCAGGGAGGAATGGGAGGGTCGGAGCGTTTATGACCTGCTAGGAAGCGCTCATCCAGACGGCTACTAGACGCGTGTTCCTGCATCTCCGCCGACCACAGGGTTAGCCTGGCGGTGGCGCGGGTCATGACGTCCAGGAGTTCCCCATACGTGGGTGACGAGGAGGAGGCGGTTTGTGATGTAGCCTCCGCCTCAACTCCTGTCACGTCTATCTCCTCGGAGCTAGACCGGCCGAGTAACATGCTCTCTGCCGGATCAGAAGAAACCGGAGACCGGGCTTCCAGATCCGGTTCGAGAGCAACAGAGCTGGCGACCGAGGATTGGTATAGGGAGAGACCCGCCCCAAGCTCGTCAGCCAGATCTAACTGCGAGCCCCATGAGTGCAGACGGCGCTCTGCCTCAGCAGCAGCGGGTCCAGCACCACGAGGCGCAGATGCTTGGCTTCCGTTCTCTGTAAACAGAGCTAAGCAGGAGCGTAGAAATGATCACAGTGGGCACAGCCGGCTCCCTCGGGAGCTGACCGTGCATGCTGCGCCCCCAGACACACTACACATAGCTCATGAGAATCGCTAGGTGTGATGTACCTTTCACACGGTGGGACACATCTTTTAAAACTGCGCTCACTCATGCTTTACCTTTCTTCTTTTTTTTTTTCTTCTTTTCAAAACGTTCTGTCACACAAGCACACACAAACAAACGGCTGAAGACAAGAAGCTGATGACGTGTGCTACGGGTGCCCTTTTATACTCTTGGTCGCACCAGTAACATGTCATAGGCCAATGTCAAGTTCATTGTCGTGTTTCCACATGCACTTCAGACACTGGTCATGCTGAGGGCGTTCCCCAAAGTGTCCTCTAGGGGACGCAGTGCGAGTTCCCATTCGATATGGAACCACTAAGAAGTGAGAAATAAAAATTGAAGAAATGGAAACATTTCTTTAAACGCTTTACATAAACATGTACATAAAAATAGTGCAGAAAAAATTTACCTTTAAAATTAACAGTAATTTTTAAACTAGTAAAAGTTTTTTTTTTTTTTTTTTAATTAGAAGTCATAAAAAGGTGCCTAATAAATAAAAATAAAAAAAAAAACAATAAAAAGTAAGAAATTAAAATTGACGTAATGGATAAATGAACTAAATGGGTCATGACACGAGAAATCAAATTTGCCTTGATCTTTTGGCATATAAGGTTTTTGTACCATTAAAACATCCTGCAAGTTTCATAGCTTAAAACATCCTCCTCATGATAAACAAAGCATTTATTTAAAGCTGCAGTCCGTAACTTTTTTTTTTTTTTAAATGATCCGAAATCAATATTTGAGCAAGTACATAACCAGCCAGTGTTCAAAACTATTGCCTTACTTTAGCCCGATTCACAACGGTCAGTTTATAATAATGTTTTCTAATTTGAGTGGTACGGGTAGGTTTTCGTGGGAAATTTGAGCATGCCGCTGCATCATTACACACTAGTCACGCAATGCTGATGTTGTTAACATTAACAATTTGAGAATAAAGTATAACAATAATAATAATTTGCACGGTTTGATGTGATATGAACTAACCGATCTTTAGATTTAATCACCATTGATAGCGCGATTTATGGTAATGCTTTTTTCCTTAGTTGGTCAGAACAAACGTGGCAGACTTGTTACTTACTTGTTCAGATGGCAATATAAGGTGAAAATTCTTATTTGGGTCATATTCCAAGACGTAGGCTAGAATGTGTGATTGCGAAGTACAGTAAATATCCACACCGGTGCGGTGACTGATTGCCACACATACTCCTCAAAACATTAGATTCATCCGAGCTGGAGCCGTGCCGACTCACAACCCACGCAAGGAAGATAATTCCGCACACAGCTGCAATTGCAGGTTTTCAAACAGAGATGGTGACAAAGAGGCAAAACTTACGGACTGCAGCTTTAATCAAGCACCAAAAGCAGCTCGCTTTGGATCTGAGGTGCAAGATGATGTCACCCGGGTGCAGTCTTTTGCATAAACACTGCCTCCAGAGCAAGACATCGACAAATAGTCATCTTCTCACCATAGGGCCCTGCCCACTGGCATTCAGTCGCTAGCGGCTAACACTTGATCACGCTAAATGCGAGTGTCGTGTCGCATCAAAAGCAAATAGAAATGACAATCACTGCCACTGTCTTGTCTACACTGGATACAGTATACAGATGCGTGTTCACTTTCTGACACAGTCCCACGCGCTCGAGTCTGACAGTAGGACATAAAGAGGACAATAAAAACAATATAATGAATGTTTTTAAATAATCCATGTAATACATTGCCTTTCTGTTCATTTTAATAAAAACACAAGTTTCATTTTTCTATATTTAAACCTTCTGATTCCCTACCAGGCCTCCATAACAAGACCATTGCTGTTTTCTTTTATTTTAACAAATTTCCATGTCAGAAATTTAACAGATTCTCTGTCATAATTGACAGCACACCACAGATACTGTAAAAAATAAAATAATAAATGTTAAAGTGTCTCTCTCAGCTCTCTGCAGGTAGAGGTGTCTGTCTCTCTGCTGCCTCCAGTGGCTTGTTCAGCGTATCACAGGATTGTCCTGATCCTCAGCAGTGCGCTTCCGGTCAACTGGGCTCTGGTGGCTCCAGAGGTCAAAGGCCACGTCAGGGTCTATGCAAGTTACATTTGCATTTCTAACCTGTGCGCTTTTCCAAAAACACTTTCTCATCTATGAACAGTTGCGTCTCTCTCGTTCAGTCGTCCAACAGCGTGAGTCCGCCATACCGAACTCAATCCCCCAGCCTCAGCATGACCAGCACCCTGACTTCTGACCTCCTCAGCACCCCCGACCTTCTAGAATGGGCCAATCAGAACGGCTTTCCCAAAGTGACCTCGTACACTGAGGCTGATCTGGCCAATCGCTTCGTTGTCAGGTTAAGAGAAGGTGGAAAAGGTTGATTTTTAACATTTTCTTGAATATTTGATCAGATTTTTAGTCAAGGTTAGATTAAATCTATTTAATACTACACTTTCATTAACTATTTTTTAAAAAGCATTCAGTAGATTAAGTTAGGATGTGATCTTAGAAGGCAGCTGCCTTTGTAGACAGCGAGGTTCGCTCACTAGGGTTTGTGACCGAGCCGTCTCTGTGGTTCAGGAGGGTCAGACACAGAACTGAGGTCTTCAGATGGACGGCAGGATGACATCATGACAGACAGAAGCAGTGAGGCGCTCAGCTGCCACTGTGAGAGCGGAGCTCTTACTGTTACTGTGGACACACAGATGCTACAGGTAACCAATAGACACACTGCGATACTATTGCTTTCATTATGCTTTTTAAAGTTGTGCATTTTTGTAGGTACATTTTCATAAAAGTAAATGTGTGTGTATACATATCTTTTTTAAAAAGAAATCAATTTAGTTTAACTTTAGAAATAAAGTTATTTAACTATCATTGAGATATAGTTTTTATATTTTTTAAATAAATTTTTATTTATATTTCTGCTTTCTTTTAAATTTTAATCAAAGAAACATTTTGTAATTGTGTTCTTCTCATATTTAGTTATTTTTAATCTTTTTCATATGTCCATATAGTTTTTTATTAATTTTTATTTCAGTCTAAATGTTACAGAGCCCCTAAGGGGATATTTGCAAAAAATGAAGACTTTCGCGTGCTCATGAGAAACTTTTTGCTTCACTTCTGCCATCTTACAAAAAAGTAGGGATGGGAAGATTCACTGATTCGCTCAGTGCATCGGCATAAAACTTAAAGGCCGGGACACACCAAACCGACTTCAAAGAACTAGCGGCGACAAAAGCCGACGGTGTTGCCGCCTCACGTCGGCAGCGTCGGACCAATAAGCTGTGCTCAAACACACCGCACAGACTACAGCCGACGGCAAACTAACACGTGCGTTCTGCGCATGTGTGAGAGGAATTAACTGTCTATATCAGCAGCTATCAATAGTATATATTCGTCATTCAAAAGGAGAAACCGAAACAAAGATATACGAGATAAACGCAGATATACGAAATGTAAACAAAGCAGGCTTGCTTACCATTTTGAATATCAGTAATGTTGATAACTGTAATCATTTTACATGTTGTTATGAATGATTGGGAAAGATCACGTAACATTTAAACAGCCTTCTGTCTGTACTGCCTTCATTTACGTGCTTGTTTTCATCACTTTCACTTTAATTCTCGGGCACTGACTCGTTCGCTAAAATGAACATCCAATCAGAGCTCTCACTCGCACCGACGGTCCCGACAGCCCCGACGCCGATTCAACATGTTGAATCGGGCAAACTGCCGCTGACGTGAGCCGACGAGTGGAACACACCGAACAAACTAGCCCGACCGTCGGCTTGGTGTGTCCCGGCCTTAACGATAAAACTTAAAAAGTGTGCAACAGATATGTTGGCATTTGTATCGCGATGCATTGTTTCTAACATATTTGTATCGTTAAAAAACTATTTATTTATATATAATTACTAGTGGCTGCGCTATACTTTTATTGTTTAGAAAGTGACCAATAATCTGTGACCAATATTTTATATGTAGATTGATTTTTCCTCTCTAAACTGTTTCTCAAGCGCGTTCTCTCATCCCCGCTGTGTGTGAATATGACGTATCAAAACACAACAGAGACCTGAGGAAAAACGGTGATTAAAGTCCAAAACCTGACTTGAAATAACCTAACAAATCAATCGAGGCTAAAGCGGTTCCATAAACCACAAATTAAGTTCACACAATCTATTCTTAAGCATCCCTTAATGTCGATCATGGATCAAATCGATCCAACATCACAAACAGCGAATATATTTGTGCTGTTTAATGCATTTGAGATGTGTTTTCCTCAGTGCATAACTGGCATGTCACAGGTATATTCTACATCTGTAAATGTTAGAAAGTCATGCAAATATATCCATTTTGCCGTCAGGAGTGGGCGAGGCTGTGCGCATGCGCACTATACAGACGGAGCGCAATATAATAGTAGCGCAATAATTCTGAGTAAAATATAACTATTTTATATATGTATAACTTTTTCTTTATTTTTATTTAGTGATTTTAATGCTTTAAAGAGCAATTTTAGATTGTAATGTTCTGCTGTCTATAAAAGGTACAGCTGTCATAAAACCAGAGATAAAGGCTGCATGGCTATAATAGTAGGCCTATGTGAGAGAATCAGTGGTAATATTGCGTTCCTATTGGTCAGTGTTAGAGGAACTCAACTTAGTCTGACAGTTAGCCTGCTCCGGACCAGGTTAGTTTCCCAGCATAAGTTGCCACAGTGAGGTTGATCTATGTTAAATTTGCTTTATGGAACCAAATCATTTTACAATGGGAGTCAGACTAACGGAAATAAGCCTGGCTTTTTTGGTAAACTTGTTTTATGAAACATGCCTCGAGGCATTAGAAGTCAGAAGACACTTAATATATGATTTGCTGACTGTCTGAACCAAAGAAATAAAAGCGATCATATTTTTTCCATTGCATCGAATCGCATTGTTGAATCGAATCGAAATCGGTTCGCACTGCATCGTAATGGGGGTGAATCGTATCGCATCACATCGGTAGCTGCTTCATATGCATCTTTAATGCATCGCATCATTAGCTATGCATTGAGATGCGTATCGCATTTGCCTCAGTTATGAGATGTACATCCCTACAAAGAAGAAAAGAAGAGCATGGATGCGCATGAATAAGCCTAATTGAGATCTATTTTAAACTTGGCCTTCAGTACGAAAACACTGTTTCTGTTCTTGCATTCCGACAGATAAATCATCACTGAGCAGCATAAGAACAGCTTTTTCCCTCAGGCTACATTCCACCTGAACAATATAACATCTCAGGACTATACATCTGTACATAACTTCGTAATTGTACATATCTGTACATAATTCTTTCTATTTTCTCTATATTTTGGACATAACTTTTCTCAACTAATTTGCACACTCATAATTCTGTTTTATCTAGAAAGAATTATGAATGTGCTATTTTACAGATGAAAAGTTTTGAGAAGTTATGTACAGATGTATAGTCCTGAGATGTTATATTGTGCAGGTGGAATGTAGCCTGAGGGAAAAAGCTGTTCTTATGCTGCTCAGTGATGATTTATCTGTCTCGGAATGCAAGAACAGAAACAGTGTTTTCGTATTGAAGGCCAAGTTTAAAATAGATCTCAATTAGGCTTATTCATGCGCATCCATGCTCTTCTTTTCTTCTTTGTAAGATGGCAGAAGTGCATGAGTAATGCAACTGTAATGCATGAGCTTGCAAAAAGTTTCTCGTGCGCATGCAAAAGACTTCATTTTTTTATTTTTGCAAATGTCCCTTTAGGGGCTCCAAATGTAGTTATTTTAGCACATTTAAAGTTAAGCTAAATGAAAACAAATGTTGCAAAATAAATTGAAAACTAAATGCCTGTTTTTATGACTTTACTTTTAGTTAATCATAATATCCCTGCAGTAAATGCATTTAAAATATATATAAAAAAAATATTCCATTTCAAATAAATGCTGGGTTTTTTTTTTGTTTTTTTTACTTTCTATTAATCAAAGAATCCTGGAAAATAAAATGTATCACAGTTTAAAATAAAATAACATATTCAGCAGCACAACTGTTTTCAGCATTGATAATAATCAGAAATGTTTCTTGAGCAGCAAATCAGCATATTAGAGTGATTTCTGAAGGATCAAGATGCTGAAAATTCAGCTTTGCATCACAGAAATGTTACAACATATTCACAGAACAGTTCTTTTAAATTGTAATAATATTTCACAATATTACTGTATTTTTGATCAAATAAATGCAGTCTTAGAAGAGATTTCTTTCAAAAACAATAAATATCTTACCAACTTCAAATGCCTGAAAAGGTGTGTTAGATTATTCAGTATTCTTTACATGTCCAAATTTGATTCTCTGAATTGTTTATATACACACAGATTTTTTCAGTGTCGGCAGTGACCCTGCGAGATCACAACTGCCATGGTGAATTTAATGGAAGCCATTTCCTGTTGCTTTTCCCAGTCATTTCCTGCGGGACAGAGGGAGAACTGGATGAAGTGAACGGAAGAGTTCATTACACAAATACAGTGAGAGACACATTATTCAACACAATTGTAAAATTAGTGTATATAATCAATGTACCTATGATGTAATGTCTTGTTATCAGCATAAAATTATGTTATGCAGCTGAAATTCTGTCATTTAGTTGAATTAAAAGAGAAAGTACAGTGAGTACCATTAAATGATTATAAAAGTAGAATGGTCCTGTAGTGCAGTAAATAAACCTGACCTGGGTCACACCGCCTCGCCATCACTGAAGATGATAAAATTGTCAGCTGTAACCACACACCAAAAACAGATGACCCGGGTCACACTGAACCAGATCCAGCAGAACAAACCATTAACAGGTTTGGTGATGGGAGCATCTTCAAAAGACACAGAGGCAGAAGGCGCATTTCATACTGCTATATATTTTAACTGTATTTTTAAGGTGTTCCTGTGGAAACAGAAACCATCCGAGGGTTTAAACAATGAGACAGGCGGGAGGGTGTTGGACGAGACGAGTCTGATAGCCATTCATGTGAGTGTTTCAAACCTTCAATGTGTACTTGGCAGCATCTGAACTGTTATGGGAACTGGAGGCTCATATTTTACTGATTTGAAACAATATATAACAATTCAGATTAAGTCTCTTATTGCTCACCAAGGCTGCATTTATTTGATCAACTATACAGGAAAAACAGTAATTTTGTAAAATATCTTTACAATTTAAAATCTATTTTATGGTCTCTCAATTTCTAATCAAAAATAGTAGTTCAGAGTCAGCAAAGATTGCAAACAACCAACACCTAACAACAAATTCAACAAAAATAATAAATTAAGGCAGTAGCATACAATAATTAAACATGAGTAATTAAGAATAGGACAGCTAAAACTAAAACTGTACAAATAATAGTAATGCTAGGCTGTTACTGTGTGGGGTGTTCTGGGAGATTGTTGCTATTGCTAAAACATTAAAATTGTGCAATATTATTACAATGTAAAATAGCTGTTTTCTGTCTGAATATATTGTAAAATGTAATTTATTCCTGTAATGCAAGCCTGAATTTTTTAGCATCATTACTAGTTACTTTTAAAAGTAATGCATTGCAATATTGCGTTACTCCATAAAAATGTAACTGATTGCTTTACTTAGTTACTTTATGTGTAAAGTAATTCATTCATTTTGCATCACTTTTTGTCACCTGGTTTGGGCTTGCGTATTCGTTTTTTTATAACAAAAAAACTCTAAAGTTATATTTTGAGCAACTGTAAAGGCACTTTCACAGCAAAAGTGAAATTAATAAGCCTCCAGCTGAAGGAAGTGTCTGCACCACACTCCTGATTTAAAAGTAAACTTAAAAGTAATGCATCACTTTACTAGTTACTTGGAAAGGGCAAGGCAAGGCAACATATTTAAAAACTTTGAAAATGATTTAAAAATTGATTTAAGAGGTTTAAAATGAATTTAAAACAGTTAAGAATAGAAAATGATTATACATAACATCCAACTGTTAATTTCATCAATGCATTGGCAGAGGGAGTCAATGGGGCTGTAGTCATTTGGCGTTAAGGCTAGGAAAATCTGGGTATCATCAGCATAGCTGTGATAGGCAATGTGGTTCTTTCTCCTTATTTAACAGTGTCAAACGCAGCACTGAGATCTAGTAGTACCAGCACTGAAAAAATAATCTGATTACGTAACTCTCGTTACTTGTAATGTGTTACCCCCAACACTGGTCACATGATCCTTCAGAAATGATTATAATATGTTTATTTACTGCTCAAGAAACATTTCTAATTATCAATATTAAATTAGATTTTTAGGACTCTTTAATGAATAGAAAGTTCACAAGAACCGCATTTATTTTAAATATTATCTTGTAGTATTATAAATGTCTTTACTGACACTTTTGAGCAATTTAATGCATCCTTGCTGAATAAAAGTATTAATATGTTTCAATAAAATAAAATCTTACTGACCACAAACAGTTTGTAAATGACATACATTTCTTTTCCTAACAGCCATTGCTCTAAACTGCATGTTTGTCATGTGTGGCTCACTTTTTTTCGTCTGGTTTCTCTCTGTTCAGATCAGCTGTGCATCGTCTCTGATCACTCCTGTGAGTCCAACAGACATGACTCCATCCTCCAGGCCTGTGGAGGCGCTGCGCTTCAGTCCCTGGGTGCCGAGAGGCCCCGCCACTCCAGTCCTGTCCATGGAGCTGTTTGCCACCGAGGCCTACGAGAAAAGAGCCGTGGGGCCCTGCGTGATCACCGCGTATGACCGCGTCTACGTGCAGGTCAGCGTTATCTGTCGCATTTGTGTGCTTGTTTCCTCTCTGGCATCTCATGAAGGTCAGAGCAGATGATAGTACAGCGGTGGAGTCCATAACATGATTAAAAAAGCTCAAGGACATGAGACTCCTGTCGCCGTGTGGATGTTTCATTAGTGTGTGTCAATGAAGGCCACAAATGGACATAATAACAAACTACACTTGCAGCTTTGCTGTGTACGATGTGAATAAGAAAACTCATAGAAAAAAAATATATTAACCCACAAATAACAGCAAATAGATCTAATATAAAAGAAGTAGTAGTTCAGATAGTTCAGAGTCATAGCTTGTAAGCAACCTGCACCTAGCAACAAACTGAACAAAAATTAATACATACGAAAATTAAACATGAATAATTAAGAATAGTAAAGATAAAATCTAAAACTAAAAATATAAATATTAGTGTTACGTTTTTTTATTTTCTAAAGAACTTGTAAGATTACGAAAGTGGTACATATTGCTAGAATTATTATTTATAAGTTACTACGATTGCTAAAGTGGCTTTTAGCATATGGCTGAGTAATTAAGGATAGTAAAGAAAAAACTAAACTTAATATGTACAACCAATAGCATTACATTTCTATTATTTTCATGTTGCTGTGAGGTTGCTAGGGTGTTATGGATGGTTGATATGCTGTTGCTACACATGTGATTGCTGGGGTGTTCTGAGTGGTTGTTGGGATGTTCTGAGTGGTTGCTATGTGGTTGCTAGGCTGTTGCTGTTTGATTGCTGGGCTGTTGCTATGTGGTTGCTGGGGTGTTCTGAGTGGTTGCTACGCTGTTGCTATGTGATTGCTGGGCTGTTCTGAATGGTTGCTATGCTGCTTCTATGTGGTTGCTGGGATGATTTGAGTGGTTGATTAATGTCATTTCTTTCTATTTCTCTCTGTCAGATCTCAGTGGGTTCTGGTGTTGCGGAGGCCGTGGAGGTCCAGTCGTGTCTGGTCTCTCCTCTCTCAGATCCACATGCACACAGCGGCTGGTCCATCATCAGAGACTCCTGCCCCTCTGACCCGTCCTTCAAACTGAGCCACAGAGAAACCCAAGAATCCACAGACAGCACAGGACATGATGAAGACGAGGAAGATGAGAAGATCTACAGGAAAAATGACAGAAGACTGTCACAGCCGAGACGAAATAAAGACAAGAGACCCGACAGACTCGGAGCCAGGAGACCTGAAGAACGCAGACGGAAGAGACGGGAGGACGAACGTGAGAGCGCAAACATGCTGCAGTTCAGTTTCATCCTGCGGCCCGTCTTTAATAACTCCATCCAGTTCCTGCACTGTCGGCTGTGTCTGTGCACGTCAGTTGAGGGGCCCTCCGGGGCCGCAACTCGGATCTGCACAGACGGGCCTCAGATTCCTGCTTTCACAAACACAACTGCTTCTCAACAGGTAACAAACACTAATGTGGGAAAATTAGCTTTTTGAAACTTTGAATAAGTTGAATCAAAATCAGTGAATCAGTTGTTTCGCAAAATGATTCACTATTTCAAAGCATTCATAAATGCATGCAATTATTAAAATGATTAAAACAAATATGATTAAAAAATGACTCTTATTACCCAGTTCTCTTAATGACTCATAAATGAGTCTAAAACCCATGAGTTATGGGATTTGAATCATTAAATAACTTTCTTTCTCTTTGATTCCCTCAGTTTGGTTGTAGTAGCTCTTTATGTTATGTCATCCACAACTGATTATTTAATAATATAGTGTATTACATATTATTAACTATAGTAACATAATAACATTTTTATATATTCTATTAAATAATAACATTTTAAATCAATTCTATAAGCTTTAAAAGCATTAAAGATGCAATGCATCAACATTGCTTTGTCCTGTTGTCTGTCTCTTAATTTTCTCACAATTTCCATACACTGTACTGCACCAGAAGTTGCGTTTGCCACAGAGGCAAACTCATGCATAGGGCCAATTATCAAAAGTACTAAAAGAATGTAATGGAACTGGAGCCAGAACTATTAAATACTTTATGATTCTTATCCTTAGAAGAAATGAACACTAATGAGATCTCAACATGACATAATTTACTAATCACATCTGTCAATATCTGCTAGTAAACATTTCATATATGTGTCTCTCTCTTATCATTCAGTGTGAGTACAGAAATCTCTCTCGGCCTGTGTTGGTCACGTATTCTGCTGGGTTTCTGGCTCCCCCTGCTGGTTTGTACACACCCTCATTCTCAACTCTCATTTACACAAAAGTTTTGCATTATTTTAACACTTTAATGTTTTATGTTTGTGTCTCTGTGTATGTGTTTATCAGGTAAACTTTCTCAAAAGCCTTCTGAGATCTCGAAACAGACTCCTGCACACAGCAGTGAGTTTTACCCCTCATAAGTAATTTTTGGTTAATAATTGCCCTGCAAGGAAATTAAAAGGAATAGTTCACCCAAAAATTTAAATTGTCATCATTTACTCGCCTTCAAGTTGTTCCAAATGTGTATGAGTTTCTTTTTTCTGTTAAACATAAAAGATATTTTTAAGAATGTGGGTAATCAAACAGTAGTTGTTCTCCATTGACATACATCCCAGACAGCACACGTAAGTCCAGTGCTTGAAGTGGAAAAAAAAAAAAAGGGCCCGGCCCCCCCCCCCCCCCCCTTATTTATGTATTTAATTATTTCTATTAAATAAGTAAGTACTTTTTAATAATTCACAATGTATGTATAGTGCCACAATCAATCAATCAATAATTTAATAAAAATTTTCAGTACAAATTAGCACAAATCAAGATGCGATACCAAACAGGACCACAGGGAGACGCCAAAGACCACTAAATCGCCTGCCTACTATACGGATCCATTCAGAATCGCTAAATCTCTGACTACCGCATAATCAGCGTTCATTATAAAACACCCTTGCATTTAAGCCAAATACAGGCTGAAAATAATAATTTTACTGACATCTGGACGTAAGTCACTATTCTTTCCGCAATCGCTGATTAAATCGGCCGTGTTTTCTCTGCATTAGGCTGTTTTGAACTTACTGTTTGAATTCGTTTACTGGATCCTTGGACTTTACAGGAGTTTACCGGTTTAAAATGATGTGAACGCAAAAGCCTGCTTCTTTTAATTTTTAAGATATTATTTCCGTTATTAAGTACTGATTCAAATTAGTAATCAATGATTAATTATTATTCTACTACTCTGCACGCCTCCCCTGACATGCTCTCGCACCCCACACACTCCGCTTGCATTCATTCACGTGACTGGTCGAGATGAGAGGTGATTTATATAGTGTCCGTTCTAATCATATTTTGGGATCTTATAATCACCCAGACCCTGACGCTTTTACTCTGAGTACCGGCAACATGTCAGAAGGGCCGGTACGCACAAAAAAGTGCAGTTACTCTAAAGGCTAAAATATAGAAGTGCCGGTACTGCGTACTGGCCCACTTCAAGCACTGCGTACGTCTGTAAGATGTCTGTTAAAGATCGCTTGATCTGGAAAGCATCTGCTGTGTACAAACATCTGATAGACATCTATCTATAAGATGTAAGTTTTAAATACATTCTAAATCCTAAACATCTTAAAGACATCTTTTAAATGTTTATATGACATCTGATAGGAAACGTCCTATAAACTAATTGCAAGATGTCTGTTAAAGATCGCTTGATCTGGATTATTCATTAACAGTTTGTCCCATGACGAAGGAATTATTAAACCGTTTTCCCTGACCTGATTCTTAAGTTATCAAAAGTCGCGCATGAGAGATCCCAGTAGATTGATTATCTCTTGGCCACCTCATCGAAAAGAGCTGTTCCGACACTTACAATATAAAAAACCATTAAATACACACACTTCATATTTTATAGAGAAGACTACCTAGATAGCACACGTACCTCTGCAAGAGGTCTGTTAAAGATCGCTTCATCTGGAAAGCATCTGCTGTGTACAAACATCTGACAGACATCTTTAAGATGTCAGTTTTACATACATACATTTTTGTACAGGTAAAGTACAGGGCTTGCACAAAAATAAGGACGTTCTTACGTTAAAAATAAGGTGGAAACTGTTATTTACCTAGTTTGTGTTTCAGAAACATACGAGAGTCCAGTGTTAGTGGTCGTGTTCTCTGCATTTGTGATGGGTTTGTGTCTGATGGGGGCACTGTGGTGCATTTACAGTCACACAGGTACAAACACGCAGACCCTCATGCAAAACTTTCATTTAACAGTGTTTTTTTCTTCATGACAGCTGGTTATTAACACATATTATCCTGGTTGTCAGGGAGGCGTGATATGACCCAGAGAGACGGTATTACAGAGACCACACGACAGGACAGCGAAACCCACCGACACTGATGGAGCAAACCAGCGGTTTCCACGAGGTGGACTAAAGATATCCCTGATAGCACACGTACATCACGGAGACGTCTATTTGACGTCTGCATTTACATCTGGAAGACGTATTTTTAAAAAGTGTTTGCTCATCTGAACGTCTATGACGTTTCCTATCAGATGTCAAATAGACGTCTATTAGATGTCTTTAAGATGTTTATGATTTTGAATTTATGTAAAACTGACATCTTACATTCATCTGGCAGATACACAGCAGAGGCTTTTCAGATCAAGTGATCTTTAACACACATCTTGCAGATGTACGTGTGCTATCTGGGATACGACCATCAAATTCAAAACGTGACAGAAACAAACTTCATGTGCTTTCTTTAAGGCTGAATTTGTGTACCACTGTTCTGAGGTGCTTTTAACATATTTTACTTGCTGCTTTTGTTGTGCTGCTAAATGTAAGAACGGAAATTATGTAAAACTATTATAGATTTGTGTACAAGATTTGCGCTCCTTTAATGTTCGTAAATTTGTTTAATTTTCAGCCCTTTAATTGTTTTTAATTTACTGTGTAGTAATCATGTCTTAAAGTGTCAGTATTAAAGAAATTTAGCCCGGACATGCTGATGGTAAGGGTTGGAAAGGATCTTTTATTATGTAGGGTGAAGTCAGGAAGGTCTGAGAAAGTACATGGTAAGTGCCCGTACATAGTTTAAGTCTATTTAAATTGTTAAGGTTTAATTTCTAATACAAAGAGTAATTCAATCTATAATATAAATGTGTAGGCCTATTACATGCATTCACGTGATCATTCAGTTTTACGCAATAATATGCAAGTTTCTTCATTCTTTTTTTTTTTTTAAATATTACGTTTTGTTACTGTCCCAATTTACCTGAACATGTTAGATAAATTGGGACAGTAGCATTCAGCTAAAGTGGGACTCCCTATAAATTAAAAGATAATACATTGCTTAATGTGATAAATTGTTTTGTTTTACAGAAAATGTCACAAACTGTAGGCAGAAGACAGGAAAAGAAAAGAAATAAGTTTTTGTGCGTAAAAAGTGTCTGCACTACAAAACCAGTCTTAAGTCGCTGGGGTATATTTGTAGCAATAGCCAAAAATACATTGTATGGGTCAAAATTATCGATTTTTCTTTTATGCCAAAAATCATTAGGATATTAAGTAAAGATCATGTTCCATGAAGATATTTTGTAAATTTCCTACCTTAAATATATTAAAACTTAATTTTTGGTTAGTAATATGAATTGCTAAGGACTTAATTAGGACAAATTTAAAGGCAATTTTCTCAGTATTTAGATTTTTTTGCACCCTCAGATTCCAGATTTTCAAATAGTTGTATCTCGGCCAAATATTGTCCTATCATAACAAACCATACATCAATGCAAACTCATTTATTCAGCTTTCAGATGATGTATAAATCTTAATTTCGAAAAATTGACCCTTATAACTGGTTTTGTGGTCCAGGGTAACATTACAACATAAACACACAAATATGAAAGCATGTTTTACACCCATACAACATAAACACATATATGAACGCATGTGTTACACACACACTTAAGCACACAGTTAAATACAAACACACAAGCAGGCACATCATAAAAATGTCATTTTTATACTACACAGTACATTGTACTTCTGCTGAAGTGATTCAATTCTTTGTTTTTGTCCTTCTGTTGGAGTGTTTTAACTGTTTAAATTTGTACTTCTGTTGGACTGCTTTAAAAATTCTTCAAATGTATGCTTCTGTTAAAGTGTTTTAATTCAATAAACATTAAGTGTTTATGAGTTCACAATCAATAACACAATCCGCTAATGTCTATTTTTATAAAGTTATTCTTTTAATTTCTGAAGATTTTCTATTGCAAAAGATTATTTGTACAATGTCCTGCTGTAGGAAATTGTATTTTGTAAGCACAGACCAGATAAAAATGTGTGTCCCACTTTACCAGACACAGTGTCCCAATTTACCTGAAAAAGCCAGAAGGGGGAAAAACAATGGATACTTAACATTTTTGAATCTCTGTATGTTTAAAACAACAACCAATATTCTTTCGAAAAACATGCTGGGGGATACAAGAGACTTTGAGAATTTGTTTAAAGCATAAATTGTGTTGGTAGAATTGATCTGTTTGTATTTAAATCACAGTTTACCAAAAAGTGTCCCACTTTTGCTGACTTCACCCTACTTTAAAACAAGATAAACTTCTGCTGAGAGCTTGAGAATACAGAGATACTTGTCTTTCACAAAGAGATTGATGTTCTTATAAATCTGTTGCATTACTGCGTTTATTATTAAATGCCATATCATGTACATAGAGTGAATATTGTTGCTTTGAAATGTTCTGACACAAAACGTTCCATGATTATGACATCACAACCATGAGCACCCAATCATAAGTCTTGAAGCTATAAATCTACAGTAATGTATAGCCTGCTGGAAGTGTTGACATATTTCACAATGCATTGTGTGCAATCAAGTTAGATATACATAAGCAAACATTTGTTTTGGTGCAAACATCTTTCATAAACATTATATAGTAGACTTTTGGGTAAAATGTAATAAGACCCCTGTACGTTGAGCTACCCAAGGTGTTTGTGTGCAGCTGGTCTCTCAGGGCCCATGATACAGTCCGCTGATGTTCTATGAGTGTGTCTGTAGGTGGCGCTGTAGGTCCAGTCTCCTCTGGAAGCTGAGTGGGCAGTGCGAGCAGCTAAAGGGCTGGTAGCTGCTGTGTTTCCTGCTGTGAGTGATCAGATTGGAGCTCTGACTGAACGCTTTACCGCACACCACGCACACATGAGGCTTCTCACCTGAGAGATGACACAGAACACATTTTTGCTTTGAAAAAGGCTATACGCAGGTGGAGAACAAATGGGAAGTTCTAAAACACTTAATGTGAAACTTTAAGTGTTGCATTCATATTTTAGGCTCTTCTGCTTGTCTTTAATAAGGTGTGTGCTGAATTTGGACCCCCAATATCACTGTATTTATGCACACGTTTCTACAGTTTGTTATATTACTGTACTCTTGCCATTAAATTAGTTAAATGTTAAATCTAATTAAAGTGAAGTGACGTGACATGTGGCCAAGTATGGTGACCCATACTCGGAATTAGTGCTCTGCATTTATCCCATCCAAAGTGCACACACACAGCAGTGAACACACACACACCGTGAACACACACCCGGAGCAGTGGGCAGCCATTTTTGCTGCGGCGCCCGGGGAGCAGTTGGGGGTTCGGTGCCTTGCTCAAGGGCACCTCAGTCGTGGTATTGAAGGTGGAAGAGAGCGCTGTACATTCACTCCCCCCACCTACAATCCCTGCCGGTACGAGACTCGAACCCACAACCTTTTGGGTTACGAGTCCGACTCTCTAACCATTAGGCCACGACTTCCTTGATTAGCGTGGCTGTGTGTGTGTATTTTTAATACAAAGGTAAATTTGACAAAATTGGGCAAAATCTGTCTTCTGACCAACATAGTCAATGTCTTGATATTTTCTTTCCTCTTTTGTAAAGTCATAGAAATGCTGTAGTTTTTTTTTCTTTTGCTATAGGAGCAAATGGGAACACAAAATTTTTATTAGGCGACATTTCCTTCTGAAAACCACAGAAATATGAAAAGGGTCCAGAGATTCTAACTTTAGCATGTTGCGTTCTGGAATTGCCTTATAATTTATTTGAATTATTAATGAAAATGTAAGTCAGTGGAAACCCCATTATGTATTTTACCTGTGTGAATA